CACAATTAGAATGTCAGAAAACATTTTTGGCAGAATGAGGAGGATTAAGAATGTCAGATACCTTTTTGAGTAAAATAAATAGATTATTAATGGTATACCTGCCCTGTAATGAAGGAAGAATCATATTTCCAATGATACATATTAATCCTATATTTGATCTTGTATGTTCCCTGCGAACCCAAAACCTCCATAAGTGGAACACCTTCTAAGTGGAACGCTTTGTGGCATAATGGAGAGTGTTCCACTTAAACACAGGTTCTACTGTATTTACATAATAATGTTATAAAGGAGCATGTAGGTTATCGCAAACAACTCCAGACAATTCTAACTTGAATTATGAATATTTTCTGACCATGAACATGGGTATATCTTTTAGATCTATTCATTATCTTCAAGAAAAGTAAATATAATGATTGAAATCAGACCTAAGTGATATTAAAGGGAATGGCCCAATCAACATACTTTTTACTAAAAATGGTGACCTAATTTTCACCAAAGATGCAACCTTTAATTATATTGTTGAATGCATAATTAGAATATGCTTTGAGACATGTTCTATTTCCTAAGAGGAAAAGTGGATTGCTCCAGGGACTTTAAAGACACCGAATTGTTAACATTGTTAAAATGATGGCATTTTTGGTGAAAATGAGGTCAACAACTTTGAAAAAATATATTGATGGGTTGATTGCTAGTGAAATATCTCCGAGTCCGATTGACTTTATTATCCCTGTATACCTGTCTTCATGGTCAGAAAATAGTCATAATCAAAGATATAACTGTCTGAAATTGTTTGTGATTACTTACCTGAACCTTTAAAGGTCAAATCAGGAGTGACAAAATTATTTCCACCAAATTTTTGACATGTCTTCAAATACGATAATATTTTCTTCATAAGATAGAGTGTCACTTGTGAAATTTATTGATTGACTAGAGATCGTACCACATCTTTATGACATAGAAGCGAACTAGCCATATTGAACTTTAATGATGTTTGTTTAATTGTTGTTTGCCACTTTTCGACAATTGTCAAAATTTGGGGGTTTTGGGGTAGGGGTACAATTAGGTTAAAAAATTCACCTGATTCAGACTATCTTTAAATGAGCACTGATTCACCCGAGAGCATAACTTTTTCAAAACATGTAAGTGTTATTTTTGGACCACTCACATTAATGTTTCGTCTAATTTTCCCTCAGAGTTTCATCATCATTGTCCAAATCTTAGGCCATATTTGTTGAGATATATGAATGTTCATTATTAAAATCTTGCCTTCCTTTGCAGTTGGAAAAGATTCGGCATTAGGTGTTATAAGTCCCAGAGCACGATAAATAAATAAAAATAACAACAAAATGACATAGAACTGATAGACGTTTTCTCTTGTGCGTGTCAGCCATGGTCTACCAAATTGCTATTCAGTTTCCATTTTAATTTCCTGACAAATAGAGCGATCATCTCAGGATTTTTTCTATGATCTATGTGTCGCCCTAGCAACTTCTGTTTTAGAGAACAATAGAACAATAGAAAAGATTACTTTACCATAATTTTAATCATCCCACATTGTAGACATATTTAGAATTAAAAATATGAAGAGAATGACAAAACCTCTTAAAACACATTTCTTAGGAAACAAATAGTGTCGTATTCTTGTTACTATGGCAACAGAGTTTTTTCTTTTTGTCATTTTTGTCATACAGATTACCTATCATACCAGGACCAAATCCTGAAAATTTGAATTCAGTATCTTCATTAGTATCTTAGATATATAGGTTTCTTATAGTATCTCCTGCAGATTTTATCGGAGTATAAGGAAAATGCTCTGAAGAGGGTTGCCCAAGGATGCCACTTAACAGTATTTTTGAGGTCCCAACCCTCTATTCATGGGAATAGTTGACCATTGTAAAGCTTCTCATGGTTAACTGACAGAATTGATTGTATCTTCAACTAAGAAGACAATAAAATGTTATAAAACCAGAAAAAAACCACACCAACTTTCTTCTATTTACCAGGGGTAGGGCACTATAAAGTCATATTAAAATTACAAAATAGTACTTCATCACTAAAATAGATGTATTACAATATCACACATAGCTTGGGAATGTTTTTAGAATACTACTTTGAGCTGTTTAAGTTATCATATTTTGCTTGAAGCTACAAATATAAAATAAGCAAGAAAAAAATAACAAAAATTGCATATTTTTTTCTAATTAATTGTATTTTTCCGAAACCAACAAAGATATCAACCTATAACTTTAGGGTAGTATTCATCTCTGTACTAACAATGTATGCTGTAGAACTCAGAACAACAGTTTATATATCCTTTGAGTTATGAACTAGTTTCATAGTACCCCCTAGAATATTTTCCTAGGGGGGTAAAAACGCTAAAATTCAGTGTCGTGACCACCCCGTTGAGCTGTCATCTTTTAATATCTTTATCAGCATGAAAAACTGATCCAGAAGAAATAGGTCTGTTGCTTTTTCTAAAAAATGCCTCAAAAACCCTTTCCCTTGAGATATTCTGAAATTGGAACCTGTCTAATCAAGGGAAAGATCAATACCCGGTGATTTCAGAGGGAAGTGGCGTTTCGTTCATTGGATGAGCTGCGCGCGCACGCATAAATGTGATTATCCAATATAATTAGGGGAGGGCTATTTGAAGTAGTTTTTGGTCTCAGGCGCGACCCAGGGCTGTTGTCTTAAGGACATTTCGTTGAAAATGAGCCATTCGGCTGATAATTGGTAAGAGTTTGCGATCTTATAATGTATAACTGTTACTCAGACACATATTTTGACACGATTCTGTTGGAAATAAGCTTTGAACCGAGAGATATTCACGATTGATATGCACATTTTTGATTGTGCCATTGCTTTTCTATTGCACAATCCATGTATTGATAGAAGAAACATTAATAATACAGATTGGTTTACCTTCAATACATGGCAGACACTACATATCGGTCTATTAATACCAGTTTGTGCCTTAAATAGTTTTATATTTCCATCCACGGCCTGGAGCCTGGGTGTGTTTGTCTCTTATGTGTATGCTTGTACATGGACTTCTAATCACTAGCAGAATTTAACATGATGCAAACTCGACATTATAACTCATGCTGTAACATTTTGACTTCGCTGGAAAACAATAGGAATTATTTTTCTTGCCAATCAATCATGAATCACAATCAAAATTTCAGAATGATCAATCAGGCAATGGTCCAAATCAAGTTATAACATTATATGATATTCAGCAAGAAGTCCGGTAGAAATACAGAATATTTAAACATCAAAGCTGAAAGTTAAAAGCTAATCTGTCAATTTTCTGTCTGCAAAAGAGCGTCCCAAGAGCGTTTACATTTGACACAATAACAGACTGAGGCTTTGAAATCTAGGATTCCCCAGGAAAATATGACGTCATACTAATTAGCATAAGGATTTCCCTATTGGTGTGGGTCGAGCCTTGTTCGAAAACACAATCCATAAATACATGCTAATTTCTAAGGAGATAGGAAGTGTATAACGTGTTTATCGATTTTGTTTAAAGATTTAATCAATTATCAAATTGTTTAAGTGGATAAAGTGGTCACACTTGCTTCAATTCATAGCGAAATCGACGGATAGAAACTGACCGAATTCCCGATATCCTACCCCGTATTACTGTAGGCTATAAGCACAGTGACCTACAGAGGGCGCTATCACAAATAAGTACTGGACGAACCGATAAATTCCCGGGTATTGTAACGCCCTTGGTCTAATTCAGCTTACTATTACTTTTCCCTTGGCCTATGGTGTGGTAGTCATATAAATCCGACCATCGTATGCTTTATTTGTCATTATTTTTTGATAATTTGGATATTTATTTTTTGTTATTTTCTTGCATACTAGGGTCGTACACACTTCCCGGTTGTAAATTGAGGGAAATGCTTTCCTGGCCTGTTTAGGCAACCAAAATCACACAAATTATGTATTAGAATATGCTCTTCATCGATAATGTATTTAATCCTACCTTACACACGTCAAACGCTTGATAATTGAAGAAGTATAAGAATTTTTCTGGAAACAATTTTTTTCCCCATGTGTAGATGCATTCTGGGTAATGATTGTGTAAAAGTAAAACTCTAGGTGAAGCGAAAAACGAAATTACAATAAATAACAGCAGCCATATTGAGATCGAGATTTCAACTCGAAAGTTTATCATCGTCTTATGACAATTGAATCGCCTTCTCAGACACCAAGGAGGGTGAAGAAACCGAAAACAGATATGTTGGTAATAAATAATTACGATTTCGTTTTGGTTGCATGGTTTCACATTTAGACAGTATTCAGTGACCTTGAGTGACCTTGAGAACCATATTGGAAATTGGTTCAAACATATACGAAAATGATTACATTTCTTCAATTATCAAGTATTTCCTGTGTTTAAGGTAAGAGTTAATACATTCTAGTTGAAGCATTGGATCCATTATCTTATCTGTGTAACTTTTGTTGAGCATAGAGGGCAGAAAAGCATTTACCGCAATATACAGGGCTTAATATCCTCGACGCAAATGTTGAAAACAAAAATAAAAAACAAATATCCAAATCGTCAAAAAGAAACGTGAAACAACAACATTAGTCGAGTTCACTTGACTAATGGTGTGGTCAAATCGAGTACCAATATAGTGACTATAAACAAGATCAAATAACTATACCACAAAAGTACTTACATTAACCAATCCCTATACTTGAATTAACCGGTTAGTTGTGGCACAAATGGATATATTTCAAAGTGAATGTGAAATGTGGAAATGTTGGATAAAAATGAACCACTTCCGGTCCAAATTTACGACGTACGAATCACTTACGTTTTTCTTTGATCTTTAGTGTTTCTGAATTGAAGAAATAGGGAATACATTACATAATGCAATAATGATGATGAGTTTTACATTAAATATACAATCACATATAAATAAAAGTCAATATCAATAAAACCATGTCGTAATTTTATTATGCAAAAGAGGGCGCACGCACCTGTCAAAACTAAATCAGTAAATGAAAAATCTTTGTTCCATTTTTCTTTTTTCTTATCTTCTGGTTTTATCTTATTCTGTATTATTAATAAATGTAATACATAATAAGTTTAGACCAACTATACCATGGTACGTATAATTGCTTTGATTTTACGCAGCATCTATAGATCTACATCTTCTTTGTGTTGTTGAGTAAAAGTTGATTTGAATAATTTTTTAGTAGAAATTATTTAGCTTACATAAGAACTCTGCTTACTTTTTGTACCATTGAGATGCATGTCAAATTGACAAAGTTCGAATTAGAATTTCTCAAATCGCAGCCCATCGATTCTCAAAGAATTTCAGAGACAGGGCTGTCAACTTGGGACCATCTAACATGAGTGACTTCCAAAAGTCGAACACCTTCCTTCAAACTTTGGACAGCTTTGGCAGATTTTGGACACCTAAAATTTAGGTGTAAATATTTTCGAAACAAATGCGTGATATATACACATATTTTGTACCAAATGCGTGACATAAGCAAAGACCGAACGGAATGCGTTCGCTTTTTTTCGCCATTAGGTATTTTACCGTATTGGCATTTCACAAAAAACGATTTTTAAAAATATCAACAAAATGCGTGATATTTGGTCACACATGCAAAATTGATGCGTGATTTCTATTTTCCCAGCAAATGCGTGACAATCACGCCTAATGCGTGAGGGTGGACAGGGCAGCAGAGATATACAGCAAAGCATCTATCACCTCCATGTCAAAAAAATTCAAAAAATCTTTGGATAATCATTATCTTCATTTGAAATTGTTTTTCTCATTTTTTCCAGGTTTCCGAGTGATTTAAACTGAAGGACCAGATGTTACAAACCTGGGGCCAGACCCACAGAGGTCTCTTTAATGTAATGTTCAAAAGATTGTAAATGGCTGGAAGAAATACATAACCTTCCAATGGAGTCTGAGTTTGTGCCAGCTTCAACTTGCAAAAACATCTGCATTAAAGAGGAGATTTCTGAGCCAGATACTCTATATCCAGGTTAGTGAAACTGGGTAAATAGGAGGTTGAGCTACATGTTTTAGAGAATTTTTCATTTTTTGTGGATGTTTAATTTCAGGACCTCCAGGGATGGGAACGCTGGAAAACTATTACAACTATTTTCCTTATGATTTTACAATAAGGCAGTTAAATTACAAAATGGTAGTGTTATGCACTAAGTGCGGCATCTGGCTGTTGTGCTGTATCTATGTTGATTGTGCAGCATGTGGTTGCTAAGCAATATCTGCTTCCTGCACAACATCTGGTTACCGCACAGCATCTGATGGCTGTGCAACATCTGGTTTCTGTGCATCATCTCATTGCAGTGCATCATCTCATTGCTGTGCAGCATCTCATTGCTGTGCAGCATCTCATTGCTGTGCAACATCTGGTTGCTGTGCATCATCTCATTGCTGTGCATCATCTCATTGCTGTGCAACATCTGGTTGCTGTGCATCATCTCATTGCTGTGCATCATCTCATTGCTGTGCATCATCTCATTGCTGTTCAACATCTGGTTGCTGTGCATCATCTCATTGCTGTGCATCATCTCATTGCTGTTCAACATCTGGTTGCTGTGCATCATCTCATTGCTGTGCATCATCTCATTGCTGTTCAACATCTGGTTGCTGTGCATCATCTCATTGCTGTGCATCATCTCATTGCTGTTCAACATCTGGTTGCTGTGCATCATCTCATTGCTGTGCATCATCTCATTGCTGTTCAACATCTGGTTGCTATGCATCATCTTATTGCTGTTCAACATCTGGTTGCTGTGCATCATCTCATTGCTGTTCAACATCTCATTGCTGTGCATCATCTCATTGCTGTTCAACATCTGGTTGCTATGCATCATCTTATTGCTGTTCAACATCTGGTTGCTATGCATCATCTTATTGCTGTTCAACATCTGGTTGCTATGCATCATCTTATTGCTGTTCAACATCTCATTGCTGTGCATCATCTCATTGCTGTTCAACATCTGGTTGCTATGCATCATCTTATTGCTGTTCAACATCTGGTTGCTGTGCATCATCTCATTGCTGTTCAACATCTGGTTGCTATGCATCATCTTATTGCTGTTCAACATCTGGTTGCTGTGCATCATCTCATTGCTGTTCAACATCTCATTGCTGTGCATCATCTCATTGCTGTTCAACATCTGGTTGCTATGCATCATCTTATTGCTGTTCAACATCTGGTTGCTATGCATCATCTTATTGCTGTTCAACATCTGGTTGCTATGCATCATCTTATTGCTGTTCAACATCTCATTGCTGTGCATCATCTCATTGCTGTTCAACATCTGGTTGCTATGCATCATCTTATTGCTGTTCAACATCTGGTTGCTGTGCATCATCTCATTGCTGTGCATCATCTCATTGCTGTTCAACATCTGGTTGCTATGCATCATCTTATTGCTGTTCAACATCTGGTTGCTATGCATCATCTCATTGCTGTTCAACATCTGGTTGCTGTGCATCATATCATTGCTGTGCATCATCTCATTGCTGTTCAACATCTGGTTGCTGTGCATCATCTCATCCTATTTCTTCGCATTGTCTGACTACTGTGTAGCATCTGGCTATTGTGCAGCATCTAATTGTGTTGCAGCATCTGGTTCATTCGGGCATCTGGTTAATATGCGGCATCTGGTTGCTATTTATCTTCTGGTTGCTTTAATGTTGGGATATAACTTTTATAAATCTAATAGTTATTGTTTTATATATTTCAGGAGCAGATAAAGGAAGTTGCCAGTTGCAGTGTACATGTACAACAGCAGCATATGACAACATTAACAATGGTGCAGTGCTCCCTTCAACAGAGGATGGCATTACTTTTACTTGTAATCACAATGAACATTGCACATGTTGTTCAAACCCACAATTTGGAGTATGTGGAAGTTCAACCTGTTGTAATATTAAGGAGGAGCCTGTAGAAACAAACATTGAAGATTCATACACCACTATCCCTGATGTCCAAACACCTGATGAAGAAATAAATGAAATGAACAATGGAGAAAATGTTACTATGAATTGGAAAAATGGTGAAATTGATGATGCTGTGTTGGTCAAACAAACCAATCAAAGGATAAAGAGGAAGAATACTACTACTTTGAATTCTGAGAAAATCAAAGTTAAGATAGTTAAGTGTACACCAAAGACACATTCTAACCAAGATAATACTGTTACTGAAAATGCACAAATTGGTGCAAAGAAAAGAGCCCCATATGTCGTCATTAAAGAAAAAGCAAAGTATGGTAAACTGAATAATAAATCTCGAAATTTGAAGAAGAACATTGGGTCAACCAATGAAGATGAAATTGAAAATACAATATTAAAAACTGAATCAGCTAAAACAAAAATCAATACAGTTAAAACAAAAGCTAAATCAAAAAAGAAAAAAAGTGATGATTTGACAGATGATCTTCTAAATCTGTCTAAAAAACATTCTGGAACAGAAAATGTCTCCAAACAGGTTGATAAACTCCAATGTGAATTCTGCCAGAAGCTTCTGTCGACAAAATTAGCTTTGAAAAGGCATCATGAAAGATACCATGAAGCAACAAGGAAGATGTACCCATGTGATGCCTGTCATAGATCATTCACAAGAAAAGACAAGTTGAAATATCATTTGAAAAACCTTTGTCCATATGGGCAGTCTAGAGACCCTAAAAATGCATGTGAAATTTGTAAATTGTCCTTCTATGATGCAAGAAGTGTACAAAGACACATGAAAAATCGGCACTTTCTGGTAGCCTCTAAGGATGGATTTACTTGCCAAAAATGTGATGTAACAATTGAAAGCTTGGATAAGTTTAATTGTCATTTTGAACCAAGTTTTACCCAGCATGCAACATCAAGACAATTGAGTAATTTCCATAACAAAACTTGTGAGGTCTGTCAATCAACATTTGATTCAATGAGAGACTTGCAAAATCACATGCCTACCCATTTCAAGGAAGGGAACTATGAATGCAAAATTTGTGATGCAAAATATTCGCTTCTCAAGAATCTGCTTCGGCATATACGTCAAATTCACAAAATACAGACTGAAAATTTTGTTTGCGCTGTATGCGATAAATCATTTGTGAGGAAAGATGTTTTACGGAAACATATGTTATCACACACTAATGCAAAAGAATATGTATGTAAAATCTGCAAGAAGACTTTTAACAGAAGAGATTGTATGATGTCACATATGAAAAATATACATGCTCCAGAATCAGAGAAACACCAATATAAGAAAGAAGCTAAATCATGTTGCGATACCTGTGGATCTGTCTTCTCGACTGCGTTCTTACTTAGAGAGCATATCATGATAACCCACGAAGGCAAGGCAGTTGAATGTAAGCTTTGTGGCTACCAATGTCTCCATAGGCTCACTGTATACAACCATCTGAAGGTGAAACACGGGCAAATGACGTCTCTTGGCTTTGTTTTATATCGTCTTCGTAAACCTGGTACAAAAGCTCCAGTTGAAACTGTGTGTGAATTTTGTAACAAAAGGCTCTGCTCGAGACACTCGTATATGACACATATGCGGATGCTCCACCCGGAGAAGTACGAAATGGTTAAAAAACAATCCAAGATACCAAAGAAAAATAAAGCGCAGCTAAGGGATATATCAGTCAGAAATAAGCAAAGGGTGAGGAAGAGGGGGAAATCTAAAAGGAATAAAAAAGTAAGGAGAGTGAAATCTCCATTGAATTCATCTCTGAAATCAAAACAAAATCTTGATGAAACTGATACAAACGTGGCCAATAAAGATGTTGGAAATATTGAAGCAAATGATAAAGAAAAGAGAACTAAATTGGAACCTATCATGCCTGTAGAACCAAATGAAATGATGAATATATCTGAGAAAAACATGTCTAATGAAAACACTATTAATGAATATGAAAATGAGGATTCAAAGTGCATCAGTGATAATAAAACTACTGATATCGCAACAATTATGAACTCAAATCCTGAAGACATGGCACTGGGAGAAACAGCCTCTATAGAGCCGTATGACATTCAGAATACTACACCAACACAAAAGGATCGAACTACCAACCTGTCTGATAAGGCTAAACTGTGCAATATTATTGGACTTAAATCTAAGGAGACTACTATTGAACATGGCAATATCTATTTCACTTTTGGCAATACATCTGCAATAAAAACAAATGAGTCGAGAGACATACCAGAAAATGAGACTATTAATGGAGATACATGTTTGGATACTGATGATGATGTGATTATAAGCCATGAAACTGATTTTGAAGACAGTGAATCTGATTAAGATTTTATTTGATTCAAGACTCTTGCTTGTGAAACATGAAGTTATATACTATTGTGTAATAAATTCAAAGGTGCTAAATTGATGTTAATAACATGTTTTATGGTATTGAACAAGGAAGAGATTTAATAGTATACTGTTTGTGTGACTGGTGGTAGGAAGACAGCTTTTTGGTATCTGTAACAATTGTTACACTTTTGTAATCATTTCCTATTACAGTGTAAAATGGAACACCTCCACTGAGTGTAACTACATAAGTTGAATGCTTGTCAAAGTCCCGCAGCATATTGACTTATTGCTAACTGTTAAATGAACCTCTTTAAGGGGAACATCAAAGATATACCACTAAATGAATCTCTTTGAGGGGTACATGAAAGAGGTACCAAAGGTGTTCCACATTAAAGTTTCTGAAAATTGTATGTTTTCAGAATTTCAGAAATGGTTTGTTATTTAATGTCGATTTAACATGTAACATTTTAGTGGCTTTTGCTATACATGTATAATTATATATTTTAAACATGCTTTTGCAACAAAATGTACAATAATATTTCCTCTTGACTGATCAAAAGACTTTACAAAGAAATATTTGTTTTGAATTATGATTATTGACAAATTGTATTTTAACAATATTGCTTGAACATGAACAGAATAGTGTATTATGTAGCATTCACCACTGACAGCTGACTGACATATTAACCCACCACTATTAATTTAATGACAAACTTATTTATATATGAGCAACTCATATATAAAGGGTGGTCCAAAAAAATTGGAACATTTATTATTTGAACACAAAATCTTTATTTTTTCTCTAAAATGCACCAAAATTTTACTGAGTATTGTTCAATCACTTATTTATCTGATGTTAAGTTTATAGTTGCATACAACAAAGTTAATGCATTAAACTAGTCAATGTTTGATATGACCCCTCTTCTCCTGAATTACAAGTTGAAGCCTGGGGCTCAGATTTGTAAATATTCAATAAGTTTGCTGTTAGTTTTTTGTTTTTCCAAGTAATCTTGACTAAAAAATTTAGTTTGATCGACCTTCCTATTTGTTTGCCTTGGAAGATCAAATCTAGTAACATATTCAACATTTTTTACCCAAATTGATTGGTATCAAGCATATTTTGATGGCTATTGTTGGGTGTATTACTGATTGAATATTCTCCAGAAAGAGGTCAGGGCAGTCTGATTTGACTGGTAAATGAAGCCCCCTCCCCTTTATTGTTCTGATATGAATAATATTCATTGGAAATATCAATATGTCTATCAATATCATAGAGGAGTCTCCCAGAACACAAATGGTATATTATATACATATTATACACTGTATATGTGCTTAGCGTTGGTTTTTAATAAAACTTTGTGAATAACTTGTCAGTTTCACCTTTACTGAAAAGTGGGAACAATGCTTTTGTCACTTGAGTAGCTGTGAGGTTCTGCAATAGCTCACCTCTGACATGTTCCTTCTTCCCTACTCTTAAATGAAAATGATCATTTTGGGTATTGTTTAAGTTTGTATTAACACAATATTTTTCTGGTAAACCCCAGATGTAAATACCTCTTGTCAACTGAATAAGATTTTATAATATGTGCAATCAACATGTTCATTAAAGCTTTGAAAGAAAGAATACTTGAAAAAGTAGCAGCGAAATTGACACATGCATATTTGAGAAAAGGGGGTCCTGTCCAACATTGACTGGTTTAATGCATTAACTTTGTGGTTTTCACCTATAAACTTTACACAAGATAAATAAAGTGACTGAACTATGTTCAGTAAAAGTTTGATGCATTTTAGAAGAAAAATAAAGGGTTTGCGTTCGATTAATAAATGTTCCAATTTTTTGGACCACCCTGTATATATATGGTTAGTATCTGCCACTGCTCCATTCATATTTAAGAGCTGGCCATAAAAATAGGTTAAACCACCATCTGGCAGTTGAAATTGCTGAATGCTACCTAAGACAACTCAGAAGACTGGATATTAGAAACTAATACATTAAAACAATGGCTGTGTTATATGTTTTGTAAACTGAGTTCATGGTTATCTATAGTATCTATAAAGGTTCTGAAATGAAAATAACTTAACTGGGATTTGCACCTATAACATAAATGAGAACCATTAAACACAATTGTACTTCAATAAAATTGAAGTTCCAACTGGAATTAGGAATTCCCAAACTTTTGGACTTTTTAAAACTTTTTCCAAGATGTGGAATATCATGAAAAGGTACTCGTGTGATAGGAAGTGTATCTAACTACGTCATCACATATCTTTCATTCCTGTCCGATGGTTAGCATATGATAACTGAGCCAGACTAGTGAAATTATTTGAATAGATGAAAACCAATTATTAAATCTTCTTATATACAATATCCTAATGCCTAGATGCCATTCCGTCCAATAAATCAATGAAACCAACTTTCTATTTAAATGAACACAGAATGAGCTTCATTTGTTTTGGGAGATTTCCATGGTAAGTTATGACTCATATATATTCACATAAATAAGAAAGATGTGGAATAATACGATGGACATGAAATGTGATAATCTTCCATTATCTGTTTGATTAATTTATGATTTTTATTTCGGATTCGCCGTTTAACAATATTAAACGGCTACTAATGTATATTGGGTATTCGCAGTTAAGTCTAGTGTGTCTTGAAAAGGATTATTAAAACAAATGGTACATTACTTCAAAAGGCAGAAACTTTGTTTTTCACACGTTATTTGACAAATCGAAACTGATAAATGACTTGTAATGTAGATCTGAAAGCTTTTGAATTATTAATGATCCCTTTGAGGATATTGTTAATTTCCATGTAATAATTTCTGAAGTTTGTCAAATTTGGAACAGCACTGTTCATACCTTAGCAACACATACGGACTCAAATTGATAAACTTATTGGTCAGTTGTAGCCCATGACTGCAACAAATACAAAACAGAGGTGATATTTATGATATTAAGGAGTTGGCCATCCATGAAATCAAGGGAAACATTTGGAACTACAGGAATTCAACTGACATCGTTAATGCTTGGGAAATGACAAAGAAACCACGCAGTGAATTCGTCCACGAATTTGATAATGGCACGGATGTAGAAAGGACAAACAGCTGTGAAGGAGCCTGTTGTGAGTATATGTTCATCATGCATGGTTGCTATTAGACGTCACATGTTAGACCTCTTGGCTATTAGACCTTTCTAATTTCTACCAGTTTTATGTGAGGTTGACTTTGGTGTGGTAAAGTTGGATCCTTTACACACGTTTCAAAACTGAATTAATTTGCATGAATTGGATAAAAGGAGACCTATGTAAAACAGAGAAGAATGACTCTCACAGACGCTGTTGACTGTTTTATATGTCTCTGGATAAATAATATAAATATATTATTATATAATACTACTAAAGCGATTTGGCGAAACATCTAGAGATTCGTTTTTTGTCGCTCTGGGTCAGACGTTTGACATTTAGAAAACCGTGCTCTTAATCTTATCCCCATTTCTATATTCTTTGACATTTGATAAATACTGTTGTTTACAAGTACGGTAGCACGAAAATGTCACATCTTTTAGTAACAGTATCTTATAGACTTAATGTCAAACGTTTGACTTAAATGCCATTGACGCACGTTAAAATTCGGAAATCAAATGTCACAAATTTAGTGTGTGTATGTTATGGTTACTAAATATATTCTTAACTTTTAGATTTTATTTAGAAGTGAACTGTGTCGCCCAAAAGCAAACACATTGAACATTGCATCTTCTTAGGAACTTCGTCTAAATAGATGAAAAGCATAACATGGGTAGGTTTTCTTTTTTCCTTATTCAAAACATAGTTGTTTGTCTTTACATGTTGCATCAGAAAATGTTCTTTCTCTTTCGATCACAATAACTCTAGATCTGCTCGAAGTTGCATTTTCTGTTGAAGAAGACTCCTGTTGTCGGAGGAAGTATACACATGTAAAAATATTCTAACTATATCGATATATTTTATAGAAGTGAAAAAAGATGTTCATTTATAAAATGTTTGTATTGTAAGTAACAACTTGCGAATTAGCGAATTAAAAGATTTTGATTATCGTATATCGCCTTTCAATATTGAAACTTGTCATAAATGTAAATTGGTGAACACCTTTTGGAGGTACGAAAAGCATTGGTGATGTTAACATGTATACATGTTCTACTTTGAACATTTACTACTAAGGCATGTTTTACAATACAACACACTAAATTGATTAATTAAATTATGATGCTTTAGGTCGGCAAAACTTTAAAACGTCTCATGACAATTTAGCAGGAAGACCAAAGAACTCGAGAGGGAGCCCAGAAAGACATAGGAAGATATCCAATAAGTTTGAGACTCGTTCATTCACGTTTAGTGAGAAGGGAAACACCGAAGAGAAATATATTCCAATATGCCTTAGATCTGGTAAGTGCTGGTTGAATGGCTATTATAGCAGCCTGCAGGGGATTATTGTCCCTATATATCCTGGATTGTCTTTCTTTTATGACCAATCGCCGGCCGATTGAATATTGAAACTAACCCGTAATAAGATCCGTCACTGGAGATGGACCTTGCAATAGAGATGGGACAAAAATTACGATGAGCTTGATGTGAAATCCGTGGAAATAATCGTGCCTTTGACTAGAAAAATATAATGACATTTCGTAAGATTTCGGAGATTTTTACATGTTTTGATGATAATCAAAATCTTTGGCCACGGTGATTTATTTATTGCCTGACTGTCATCATTTGGGAAGCAGAAAAACCTCAACTCAATACAATAAATTATTTATAGCAAATCCTTTAATACTGTTGTTGTTATACAGGTCAAATAGCCAATAATGATAATTTTGCTGTTGTTTCTGTCTGTCTCGATCAGAATACTATTTAGAAATTTGATACTGTTTAGAAATTATTATGAGGTTATGGTTTTTATATTTCATTTAGTTTTTGAGTTATGCGGAGAGGTGTTTTTCCCGCAGTGTTCTTGTTTCTAACAATTGAGGTCGTTGCCCCTAGCAACTAGAATCTTAAGTCGTGTTATCTTATAAGTTGGTCAATTAGGTTCATTAAGATCATAGCAGCAGACCGTTGTCATTAATTATTGAATTTATTAATCGGTATTTCTGGTTTGCTAATTCTAAAATGCCATTCATTATGTAATGAAGATTAACGGCTGCAATGTTTAGGAGGATTGAGTAGTTCTGTTCGATTTAGATCTGTATGATTCTGACTATAGTTTATTAAGATTACAAGAATTTGTTGTTATTTAATTTATTCTATTAAAATCTTGCAACATATATTTATATTAAATTAATAATCTGAACCTAAATTAAACTCAATTCAATCGTTTAAACGTTTTTGATTACTAAACATCGATCCGGGGCCCATATAGTATTTTTGTATAGTATTTTTACTCTTCTGGAATTTATCATCTTGTTCCAAGGGATCAATGATACGATTTTGAAATCCCTAATGTAATAGCTATATAATTTCATTTTAGGACCAGGGCCAGGCGCCTATTCTTTGAAATCTACACTAGGGATGGACGGCGACATAACATTGAGTACTTCAAGCACAGCCCCTACCCTCAAACCTCGCTTTGATCGTAAGTATCCCTGCCTATTCATTGATACTTGTGAGAACCTTCAATATTTTTTACTAAGGACATGTATTTGCATAGTGATATCTGGTCATTTACCGCCACACCTGCCTAGCATCATTGTGCCCCATTTGTATGTCTCTGCTCCCATTCTCTGTCAACCTGAGCATTAGTTTGAAAATACAGCCTTCTCTCCGGAATTAATTATCGTCAGTATCTTTATCTCAAACATCGCAAACTAACTGTAGGCCCAACTTAACAATTCTCCTTATCTTCCAGCGATAATAGACAATAGTCAACCCGGTCCAGTGTATTACCCTGATCCTAAAATCACAAGGCACGGCAACATGCAGGGACAAAGCATGGTCTTCACAGGTAGAGCCAAGCACCCAGAACTGGAGAACACCCCAGGTCCGGGGGCGTACTCTAATCAGTATGTCCCTCTACACAAGGCGTATTCTCACCTCCCCACCCCACTGACTCATAGTCTTGGACCGCGCACCGAATACAATCCTAACATTACTAAGCCTGCCCCTAACCGATACAGTCTCCCCGGGAATATAGGAGACGCGTCAAGTCAATTCAGCGCCAAATCCAGCATTACACGCAGATTCGGAGAACGTACCAAGTATGGTGATTATGCGTATGATTACGCCAAGACACCGGGCCCGAATACAATGCTTAAGAACGAAGATGCTTATAAGAAAAGAGCACCAACTGCCGTTCTAGCCAGCCGGACAAACATGGCTACAGGTAAAACGAGTAATCCAGCCCCTGGTACTTATAATCCCCAAAATGTGACGCTGCACCAACGCAACGGTCCTAAGTTCTCAATGGGTACCAGACACTCCAACGCTGTGTTTAACCTTATATCGGAGATAGTGGACTGATTAGAATTATCGACCTTAAAATTTGACCTAGTTCTTTGACGCTGCTAGGGATAAGACAGGCAAGGCAAGGAAAGACAAGGCTTATAATTAATGTGACTTGTAACCGTGAAAATGAAGTGACAAGTCTCATAATAGTATTGCTATTGTTTTAACTCAATTATTGCCTCATCTTATTTATTTTGCCTCGCCTCGTTTTGGATCAATTTTCCCAATGGAAAATGGTGGGTTCGGGGAAAATCAGTTTTCAGGATATCTATTCAGTAAATGCTTCATCAAAAATTATTTTTAGATAGAAAATTGAATTGTCTAACTTTTTAATTACAGAGCTTCAAAGTCATTTTTGAAAATCATTTCTCGCATCCTGTGTTATTTCAATGGGAGAGGTTTCTTGGAAAATAATTTTGATTTTGGAGGCCTATAACTTTGTTGAACGTGACGAAAAATATCACTGTTTTGTTAAACAAAGTTTGCAATTAAATTTCCTAATTTGTATTTTAAAGAGAACTCGGATAGATGGATATTCTGTCATATCACTTGCGACAAACCTTTCCATTGGTATAACATGGGAATGTCGATTTTCAAACCTACATTAAAGTCATCAATATCCGACCTATTGTTATTGCTGAAAAAATTTAGAAAATTGGAGGTATTCGAAATGAAGTCAATTTATATTTCCAGCCCTTAAAGTAACACAAAACACGAGGGTACCGAGGGAGACACACATACTTCCCGAGGGATAATCCTGTATCCCAAACCGACCGTACATAACAAATGTATTCCATAACTACCGAAATGTTAGGTACATGTACATAATACGTCATAAGGTTTCAAAATTCAAAAACATACACATTTTCTTACTTAGTCCCAAATAGTTTTAAGATTGTGAGATTTGTCACTCATATATTGCTGGAGCAGATCAATAAATTGATATTAAAAGTTAAAACATACAGTAGTTTGAAATATAGTCTTTATTTCGTAAATTGTAAATTGATTTCGCTTTTCAGTAGCGGGCCGGGATGGATACAACATTTATCAAATGCAAATCACAAATAAAGCAAGCTACTGGATACCTCTATATTATGGAGTTATTATATACTGATCATGAGGGAACTGTAAAACGTGTTTGGATATTTTAGTACGGTCATTACAGACACATTCTGGCGAATGCACATTCGAAAAATTATATTTGCAAGAAATGACGTTTAAAAAGGACTGCTCTATGCCTAATAAACGAGACTTTCTAATTTCACATTACAATGAGATATACAATTGGTACACTGTTGTTTCCATAGTGTGCCTTGATCCTACGTTTAGAAATTGAAATGCACTCACACTTTCTAATATATCTTGAGGAAATCTTTTCCAAGCTACAATTTCTTCATAAAATGTTGATTTTGTCGTGTTCTAATGTACGAGTTTACTGTATGAGCAGTATTATATAAAATATATATAATAATAATGTAATAATAATATATAAATAATATTGAAAATGCAGATTGGGTCAAATTTAATACTCAATTTCATCCATTCTATCTGGAAAAGCGTATAATCACACGGTTAAAGAAATCTTTAAGAAACAACTACTGTAGTCCGAGTATATATCAGATGCTGGCACAGTTTTGCCGGAAGTTTGCAGGAAGTAACTTTTGGCAATGCAGTATGTTAGAGTAACCTTGTAGGTGTAAGAAAATATAAGGTGATGGCCTTTAAAGTGGTAAAAACAATTTTCACGGCCGAATTGGACTTCAATTCCTGCGATTTCAGGGGGTACTATAAGACTATTTCATAACATAAGGGTTATAGTTGCTATTGTTCTGCTTTCTACAGCACACATTACTAGTCCGAAGATGAATAATATCCTAAAGTTATAGGCCGATATCTGTATTAGTCTCAGAAATATTGCAATTAATAGGAAAAAAATATGCAATTTTAGTCATTTTCAAGTCTCACGTACAGTATACAGTAGTAATCATCAGAAGCTTAATTAATGCATTGTTATTGCGTTTCTTGGATTGCATATATCTATATATGTACAGTACACATCACATTATCACCTAATGTAAAAGAGGAAAGGAGCATCTTGATTATAAAGTTCTACTTGTTGGTTGTATGCCCGACTCCACATCGGTGCAGATGTTAATCAATCAAGATCGGAATATGGGTTTGAGGAAAATGTGTAAAAGACCGACCATTAGCGTTAAATTATCTCTGTGATTCTTTGAATACGTGTCAACTGTCAGTCGTAGGCGTTTTTACCCATTTTGTTCTTTTCAGTTAAGTTAACTTTTAAAAACGAAAGCCAAGGTAAGGTTCCTGACCTGCCAACCCATCGTTTCTTCGGAAATCTATTCACATTTTCACTGAAATTCAACGTAGGCCTAAAGTTACGTATCCCAAATAAACATGATTTGTTATTGCCACAAATGACCGACTATGTTATAAGCGTGTTTTTGTTATTTTCATACTGAATGTAATGTAATGTAATGTAATGTCACGTGCGTTTTATCATCATGACTTATCACAATGAAAGGAGGACTGAAAGTATCGCAACTGATTTCGGACAGTCATACGTTGGATTTGGGCTATTTTCTGAGGATTTAAACAGGTGCCATGTTGAGACAGGGAAGATGCCAACAACCTACCCACATGTTTATTCTTAAATGTTTTCCTGATTTTCAATCCCTTCCACATCTTCTTTTTCAGTAAGTAATTCCTTTTAGATTAAGTGGAAAACAATATTTTCTGTTATTTTCCAAGAGGGAAAACTGATGCGATCCTTTGCTTTCAGCTTAATTTTGGTCACCCATAATGGATATCTTTAAAACCCCTGAACGAATTACTTGTATTCCTTTAAAGGTGTTAACTGTTTGTCAAAACGCAACATATTGATGCAAAATAATCAAAAAAACAGGATGGAAGGGGTTGAAAATCAGGACAACATTTAAGAAAAAACTTGTGGATTGGTTTGTTTGCATCTTTCCTGTCTCAAAGTTTTTATTATCTTTTTGAGTGCCTTTCCTGGAGATAATGCATTGACCTAACATATGCACCTGTTTAAATCCTCAGAATATAGCCAAAATCCAAAATATGACTGTCCGAAATCTTTTGCGATACTTTCCGTCCTCCTTTGTCTTCTATACTAAAAACTGACACATCACTTAGCGGTCAAGCCAAGTAACTTAGTCAACATTCGATATTCGTATGTTCATCAGTATTTACTAAGATTGGTGCCACAATTGAAGTAAACCTCTGGTCAATTATTTTCAATAAACCTATCAGCAAACGTGTAAATGATAATTTTGATTTTCTGTTACATATTGGTGAAGCAATCTTTGGGATATGACCTAAATTTCTGATTTTCCACTGTGTCCCTGTATACCCTTACTTCAAAAGATGTATGTTATTTGTCATTTTTCATTATGAACCAACCATAAATGTATTTTTTCTTGTTTACATTCAGAATGAACTTTCTGTTTATAAATATTGCAAGATGGTACCGCATTTATTTGTTCATGATATGGACCAAACAAATGCGTGTCAATGTACACTGTAATATCCTACATACTTATATTTCAAGGGTAGTATTGAAGAATAATCTAGAAAATCTATGTTTTCAAATGGATTCATCCTTGTCAAAGAAGGTAAATGAGGATATGCGGTTTGAAAAACTAACAACATGTTTCAAGTTCTTACAATTCTTGGTTAAAACAAATAATTTGAAAGTTGTGATTTCGAATGTAATATCCTACTCAATGAAATTTGTTGATATTTGTGAATTTTTTCTTTCGGAATGCACATCGCTGGATCACAGAACTTTGCCTTGTTCGAGATGCACGAAAAGTGTATTGTTGTTGTTTTTTTGTTTTTTTTATCTTTTAGATCAATTCATTATCTCAAAGAAAATTATGTACAGTAATAATAACGTCAAACAAACTCGGAGATATTTGACTAGCAATCAACCCACCAACACACATTCTCAAAGATGTTGACCCCATTTGCACCAAAAATGCAATCATTTTTTACAATGTTTAATGCATTACTATTCTTTATTTTGATGTATCAAATAGTTCTTAAAAGAAAAACTTAATTGCTTTAAGATAAGTGTTCCCCATGTTATTTCTCCATTGAAAAATCTCATGCTATCCATTGGTTTCAGTTCATTTTTGTCATCCAAATTCAGTATCTTTAAAGTCGAAAAAAGTGTATTGTTAATACTTGACGCCCTTCGGATATTTGGATGTGATTGACGTTTTCGTTAATCTCCTACCACTGTAGCTTCCAACTTAATTTTTGGAAGCCAAATGTGATAGTCACGAATTGATATTTAAGTCACACGTTTATGCATACATCATGTGTGTACATTAACTGTCGAATACATGCCGACTTACATTTTTATAAAATCCACAGTTAACTCAAATCATCAATTCTCGAAACGGTTTATCATATAACCTGGTGAGTTTAATGTTTCATTTTAATTTATAATTATGGTATCAGATTTGAGTATGATATAAGTCGAGGCTTAAACAAAGCAATAAAATTACGTGAAACCTTTTGTGAAAATTCGAACGATTTTTCAAGAATCCTCCTTCAAAGTGTTACCAAAGTGCTCCCCGGGAGTGGAAATTTCGTCTTGTGTAATCAAAATAATAGCGGGTGGTTTGAATTTTTGTTTGAGTTTATTGCTTACATCTATAAATTTAAAAACATATCGCCTAATTGAGAGCTGCATGCAGATTTGGCGATCTATCATTATAAAAGGCTAACTATTGTAAAAAAAACAGGAGTTGACACGCTTTCATTTTGAAATTAAATTTCCTACATAATCGTCGACTCATATTTAAAAGTCATGAAAACAAGGTTGAACACAAAACATTGTTGACCCAGTAACTGTCTATTTAGCATGGGATCACTAAGGGAAATATTATTAATGACTTAAATCGTTGACGGTTAAGTTGTATTCCAAGAAACTTATCGATTTAGAAATGCAAAATGTTTAATCTTGTTTTTCAATTATAAAAAATGGCACCTGTAGAGAACAACGTTTTCAAAATTATTTAAAACAGAGATATTAACATATGTAACATTGATTGGCATGTGTCAGGGAGTAAATCAGATGAATATGCATTTGATTCTATATCTTGTTCCCAAAGGAGTTTGTTAAGGAGCGGTATATCTTAACATACTTTTATCATCCCGAACTCAAACATTTCGAATACTTATTTTGAGAACGCTTTGTTAAGAATGGATTTGAGATGTACTCAAAATTAATACGTTAAAATGTGTATTATCATCTTAATAACCACCTCACAAATTATTAGATTTGTATTTTCGAATGTTGACTTAGTTACTTGGCTTGACTGTTAGAAATAGGACATTACCACGACGATGTTACGTTTTTCATGTGCGTTTTTCATCGTGATTTAAAATGGTTAGACACATTTTTATCACGACCTTGTGGAGGTACAGAGTCCTAGTTTTAAGTTTTATTTTTCACTTCTAATTTTGCATCTATTCATATTAATGTAAAATACCGACCACTGATCCAGCTGTGGAGAGTGGTCGGTGGTCGGCGGTCGGTCTTTTTTGTAGACTCTCGGTATATAAGAGGAACCACAATATACAAAGGACTTGTATTGATGTTTGATTATTGTTCAAAGTAATCATTTCAGTTGAATGTCATACTGAAGTTCGTAATCTAGTACTTTTTATCGTCTTGGTTCTCAACATCTGTTTGATCAGTTGTTTCTCTTGGTTTACAACAATCCGGTGTTGAGCACCCTGAAAGCAAATTAATTAAGAGAATCAAAATATAAATAGTATATTATTAGGGATTTATGCCTTGGATTGAATCATTTCTCTGAAGGTGTTGTTTTCAAATCTGCATGGTCGCAACGCCTTCAGGAGTGGAATGAATCAGCCACAATGCATCTTGGAGCCTAAATTCCTTTCGCACATTACAAAATATTTTCTACAAAATCACCTCAAAGATTCGAAATCACTAAAATAACATATTTTCAGAACTATAGAGAAATATCATCAATGTATTATACTGTATAACGCCCGGTTTATGATGGTAAAGGTAGGGAACAACAAAAGGAATTTACACCCCAGTCACATTTGTCGCACGGCGGCCGCAAGTCGACCGCAGATCAATTAAATCGGTGAATTTCTGCGGCGAGCGTAGAAAAACTACGCTCGCCTAGCGGCCTCCGTACGGCGTATGCAGATTTTTACAGGCCGCAGGGTAGGCGTAGAAATTATAACTCGGAGTTATAATATTTGATCATTTCTGAGGTCCCCGTAGAAATTAACCGGCTCAACAAGATTGAATCATTATTTGTCAATGTTTCACGATCACTTTTCATTTGATATTACATCCTAGCACTATGAATAACATTTATAAATTGTCCCAATGTAAATAAAATGAAAAAACTATTATTATCAACAGAAATTTAAAATTCACCGTGCGGCTGCCGTGGGAAATGTGACTGCAAAAGTATGAGAGCGCAGAAATTCCACGGCGAGCGTAGAAATGTTACTGGCCGCAGAAATGATAGACCGCAAGGTCGCCGTAGGAAAAGTGACTGGGTGTTATGTGAATTGATTTTGACGAATCAATGCATCATTCAATATATTAACTCACCGGGGGTTCAGTGGCTTCGAACAAACCCCCGGTCAAGATATTCCAAAATAATATTTTGCGGAAAAATTCTGAGCAATAACTACCATAGCTAAGTAAAAAATGTACACAGATATGACCAGTAAATAAATTCACATTTGTCATGGCAAAAACTAGCCTCCTACTTTGGTAAAACAGGTCATAGTAAAGTTACAATTACAACATGTACCTCAAAAAGTTTGGCAGCCTTATAGGCACGGGATGGGATCGTTTGATTTTGGAATGACCCCGTAGCATGACATTCAGATGTATCAATAATTTTGCACAATCCATTTTTTAACTAAAATGCTGCTTCTTCTCGGACAAAATAAACCACCTCAGGCAATGGCTAAATCAATCAATCCTTCGTCATTTTGTAGGGATTTTGTTTTTATACGTATACGTATATTTTAAAGGGTCATGTCGAACTATTATATTTACTAAAATCAATTCTAAATTGTACTTAATAGAACATAACTATTCCCGATATAGATTCCCGATATAGATTCCATCAACTAGAGACTGTGAATCTGCACGTGTAGATTATGCACATTATAATTAAATGCTTACTTCCGTGTCCTAGTAGTTGTAGTGTATTATAAACACGATCCTTTAAAGTGAGTCATTACATAAACAAGTTGATTATTTCAAAGTTTTCATGATCAGTATAAGTTCAATGAACTTACAAAACGGTTATATTTAAGGAATAAATAATGATAGGCCATTCAATATGGTGAAATTCAGCACGAGTTGGACAGAATGTTGTACAAAGCACGAACCGAAACATAAAAATTAGTAAAAGCCGTGTCTGTGGAACGGGCATGAAGGAAGAATACGCATGCTGTCAAGATTCTGAAGTCGGCCGGGCTGTTCTATTTTACTCCCCATTTTAGATTTTATACGGTGTATGCAAAGGTATGAGTACCGTAATCCAACACCAAATTCGAAAATTCAGAACAATACCCGGTACATATGGCGTTCGTGATCAACTATAAAACGCTTACCCCCCATAGTGTTATATATCAAAATGTACCTGTTCATACAGGGGTTCGACTAATCTACATCAAATTATAGGGAGTCAGGTTACTTTTTGAGATATCAGCGTCCATTTATTGTAACTCGCGTTTGCTACCATCGCCTCAATTCTGAGATGACCGGCCAAACGCGTAGTAAACATGATCACGTCGGAACTATTTTGACCTACATCGCTATTTTCGTAATTCAAATGAAAGTTGAACTCCTCCTCTTCATTTTGATACCAAATAGTGGCATACTAGGTACCCTAGAAGCCAACTATGGCGTTATTTAGAACAAAACTACAAGTTTTTAAATGGACTATATAGGGGTCATACCTTTTGGCGGATGGATATGGAACCTCATACCTTAATGTAATATGACATCACACTGATTTTTGTCTCTGCAACTTTTGTTGGCAGAAAATATCATTTTTTAGTTCAAAAATGCATAAAAACGTCGGAACTGGCTGAATATGTGTAAAATTTATCAATTTAGGCTAGAAAGGGTTAATTTGCCCTACCCCAAATACGTCTAAATATGCTAGTCTAACTTTGCCACTGTGACGTCACAAATCTAACCTGACTATCTCTGAGTTTATTGAAGAATATGATACGTCTGACAAACAGCTTTCATTCCCTATATGGCACACCTTCTACTAAGAGTTGCATCATTGACTAAATCTACGACAAAGGCCCTATGTCCCGAGGATTTTGACTGAAATTTGGCCATTTTCGCCCAAATCTCAGTAAATAGCAGTTTCCCCAACAGCTGTATTTTGAAATAAATATTGCTACAATGTAGCAATTTAAAAATCACACATGCTTACTGTTTCTGTTGACCTGACACGTGTATCTAGCCTGTAAAAATGAGAAGTCGCTACATTGTAGCAATTTCAGTGAGATATGGGCCCTCAAAATCATGTATTTTTAGCAAAAAATGAAGAAATAACCTGCAATTTTGACTGAATTTCAGAGGGCTTTCTTTCATTTATGACCCTCCGGGGGCCTCTTATGACCATACTAATATACACAGAAGGGTTGAAAGTGATTTTAAATCATTGTTTGCCCTACGCAGAACGAAAAAATCGATTCTGTTCTCAAATTCTGCTGGAATAATGGTCTCTGGCCAACTAGCAGACAATTTAAGGCCTCATATTAAGGTATGAGTACCGTAATCCAACACCAAATTCGAAAATTCAGAACAATACCCGGCACATATGGCGTTCGTGATCAACTATAAAACGCTTACCCCCCATAGTGTTATATATCAAAATGTACCTGTTCATACAGGGGTTCGACTGATCTACATCAAATTATAGGGAGTCAGGTTACTTTTTGAGATATCAGCGTCCATTTATTGTAACTCGCGTTTGCTACCATCGCCTCAATTCTGAGATGACCGGCCAAACGCGTAGTAAACATGATCACGTCGGAACTATTTTGACCTACATCGCTATTTTCGTAATTCAAATGAAAGTTGAACTCCTCCTCTTCATTTTGATACCAAATAGTGGCATACTAGGTACCCTAGAAGCCAACTATGGCGTTATTTAGAACAAAACTACAAGTTTTTAAATGGACTATATACCTTTTGGCGGATGGATATGGAACCTCATACCCAAACAGTAGTTAAATAGTTACAGTAGTTACGGAGGGAGTAAAAAAGAACAGCTATCCCCGGACAGAGCCCCAGATGTGCAGCTGAGATGTGACGTCACTCAAAACAATGCAAATTGCAGATTGAATAGAGCATGGTCGTGCATCTATGGAGAATTAGAGAACGTTCTATATTGGCTATGCTGCATTCTGATTGGTTGAGAAATTCGAATAGAGCACGGTCATGTTTGAATCGTAGATGATAAACGTATACAGTTGGATCTCCGTATAAAGCTCTACCTACATGTGTGTGGAACAATTGACCGCAAGCATTTTTTAAAATGTTTGATTGGCTGAGTAGGAACAGTATCCAATCAAACATTTAAACCATCAATTTGAAACACCAATCAAACCAGAAGGTTCTAGCAATTCCTGGAAACGACCCATTCAGTAGCTCAACAAATGACATACAAGGTGTTTCATAACGATCATCTCCAAAAAGTCAATTTGAGAAAAGATGGGTCTATAACATATGTACTATATATGAGCCTATTTTATTCTAGACAAACACATTTGGATCAACTCAACATCATACAATTCAAGAAAGTACAAATGGCATCCCTTTGACCTTTATTTATTACAGTCCGAGAAGATCTTTCCTGACGAGAAGCCCACACTATGAAACACCTTGTACGTTTACTTATAAGTATAAGTATGCGTTATTAGAGAGATTTCGCACATAAGTGAAAGTACAACTTATACGTATACGTATAGTTTAAAGGGTCATGTCGAACTATTATATTTACTAAAATCAATTTTAAATTGTACTAATGGAACATAACTATTCCCGATACAGAAAAGCTCCAGAGACTGTGAATGCACTGTCATCTGCACGTGTAGATTATGCACATTATAATTAAATGCTTGCTTCTGTGTCCTAGTAGTTGTAGTGTATTCTAAACACGATCCTTTAAAGTGAGTCATGATCCTTTCAAGTGAGTCATTACATAAACAAGTTGATTATTTCAAAGTTTTCATGATCAGTATAAGTTCAATGAACTTACAAAATTGTATACACGGAGATGATAAACGTATACAGTTGGATCTACGTATAAAGCTTTACCTACATGTGTGTGGAACAATTGACCGCAAGCATTTTCTAAATTAATCGGCTGAGTAGGAACAGTATCCAATCAAATACTTTAACCATCAATTTAAAACACCAATCAAACCAGTAGGTTCTAGCAATTCCTGGAAACGACCCATTCAGAAGCTCAACAAATGACATACAGGTGTTTCATAACGAGCATCTCCAAAAAGTCAATTTGAGAAGAGATGGGTCTATATTTATGTACTATATATGAGCCTATTTTATTCTAGACAAACACATTTGGATCAACTAAACATGCTACAATTCAAGAAAGTACAAAAGGCATCCCTTTGACCTTTATTTATTACAGTCCGAGAAGATCTTTCCTGACGAAATACCCACATTATGAAACACCTTGTACGTCTTCTTATAAGTATAAGTATACGTTATAAGTTGTATTTTACGTATGTGCGAAATCTTTCTATTAGTTCTACTTTCACGTATGTGCGAAATCTCTCTAGTATTAACATGGATCTCTTAATCAGTATATATATTTTCAGTATAATAATTATATTCAATTATATATTAAAAAATCAGTATATTTCTTAGTACATTTTTGTACCTAAAAATGTTCTTAAAAGTCAGTGTATTTTTCAGTACATTTTTGTACTTAAAGATGTCCTTAAAAAGTAAGTAAATTTTCAGTATATTTTAGTACTGAATTTTGTCCTTAAAAAGTCACACTTTTCAGTACAAATATGTACTGAAAACGCTCCTTTCAGTACAAATGCCCTCCTATAGTGAATGACATGCTTCCCTTTTATGGTTGAAAGCCCATGTTATAACTAAGGTCTTTTGCGAATTTGGGTTAGCTCTTATAAATTAAAAATGCTAGGCCATATTACAAAATACGGTTTGCTTCATTAATACATTTTTGCATTAAAACGTAAGAACAAATGTAAAGTGCGAAACTGAATACCTTACCTTCATCGCAACAGTTCTCGAAACAGTCCGTGAAACACTCACAACAGCCGATAAGACATTTGCACCAACAAGGTCTAAAATGAAATATGTATTCTAAAGCGTGAGTCCAAATATTCCAGTTTGACACTGTGTGGTCAGATGAAAAATCAACAAAATTTGGTGAATATATAAGCGCAAATGCAAAAGGGAAGGGTGACTAAAAACTTTAAAGAAACCCAACAAGAAAAGTAAACTGTAAGTGTAAATCTGTCATAAGAAAAGTAGACACTACATTGTATGTATCCCAAAACCATGATCTAACGTGAAAAGAAACAATGTCTAACACCCCCCCCCCCTCCAATCGAGAACCAATATCACAATCCAAGAACAACACAAAGGGACATTTCATTCATACTGAAGTCATTACAATACATGTTGAAGAAAAATAATATAAAAAGTGTTGAGTGAAACCAAAACCCCGAGTAACTTAAGGGAATCTGGTCACATAGTAAATGCCATGACTTCAAAGAGGCAACGCGTCTTAGAGGAAAGAAAGAACAAGGTTTCATTCCTGATGAATCTGGTGATGATGAGGAAGATAATTTGTCTGCCAAAAGATTGTAGAATTTTACGAGGCCCATTCATATCTGTTTGATCTCCGCCATGAACAAAACCGCAATAACAAAAACATGGGGTCCAACTATATACGAAAAACTGTTGATTTGAAACGACCTGCCAGATCTTTGAAAATCAATAATTGTGAGTCTCATACTGCACCGTTTCCTTCAAACTTGTTCCATTCAAAGCAAAACAAAAATCCCTTTCTGTTGGTACGCTATTCTGTTATACAAGGCGCTTCTCATAGCTGAAGACTTAAACGCCGCTATTAATTGAGGGACTATATACAATGAACCAATTCACCTGCAGAAAGGAAAATTTTGTTCTGCTTTTAATCATATACTCCCTGGCAGTGCTAGTCTTCAACATATTCCGAGACACTGCATGGACATGATGGATATTCGGCTTTTAATGGAACAAGTTTGATGTAAAACGGTGCAATATCAGACTCACAATCCTTGATTTTCAAAGATAGGGTAGGTAGTTTAAATAGGTAGATCATAATAAAAAAATAAAATTGTCAAGAATTGCAATGTTCACTTGCCTCAGACACTTCCAAAATAAATTGGGATTTAACAAGTTTGTTAAATCTGGTTTATATCACAAAGAACGGTGTCAGTCCTTGCATCTCAATTAAAAATCTGTTGACAGATCCAATTAGGCCATGACAATAACTTATCTTAAAGCTATACCGCCTGTCCTGTGGTAGTTTGGTCTACACAGTCTTAACTTCGCACCTTGGGGAAGTCGCGGTTTATATCACGAAGAACGGTGTCTGTCTAGCATCTCAATTAAAAATCTGTTGACAGATCCAATTAGGCCAGGACAATAACTTATGTTAAATTTAGCTATACCGCTTGTCCTGTGGTAGTTTGATTTACACAATCTTAACTTCGCATCTTGGGGAAGTCGAGGCTTACCCTTATGTCAATAGATGAATCATTAGAAGCGGCTGTGTTTGTAGAATTAATTCTGGTAGTGAAATTGGGGTTATTTGATCAGCTATTTGTCGGTTTTGAGTCCGGGCAAAAGGCTATGGAATGCGCGACACTCTTGCACAAGGCGCAAGAATTTGCTCTTTTTCCGGTAAATAACTTTAAGTACAGTTTATTATCTTGGATTGACCAGTCGACTCGCTTCCCGTAGATCCGTAAGAGATTTGATGCATTCTCTGCAAAAAAGCAATGATATTCATAAAAGGCGAAACCTTGGAAGCGGGCCGACATATCCACGATGTCCCTAAGCATCTACCTCAGCTCTCCTTTTTGTAAAAGCCTCGCACATTACGCTTTTTGTAAATCTCAAAGGCAACGATGAACTCCTGGATCGTCAGTTGACGATTTAACCGGTGGTCTGATATTCACTCTTATTTTCAGTATTATCATAATCCACGTCAAGTTCATTGCTGATTCTCTCCGCACACTCCAAGTATTCGACATAAGTCGCTTTCCTGGCGTTTTTAGGAGGCATTTCAGCGCCCAACTCTTCGATTTTCCGCTTCAATTCCTTGATGGTTAGGTGTTCCATATCACAGTATGTGATTACGAAAGTGATTAGATAATCCAGATATAGTATACGAATAATGTGTTAAGTATAGATGTGAGCGTTTTACAGAATATAATATAAGTGTCCGACTTCCCCAAGATGCGGTGTAAACCAAACTACCACAGGACAGGCGGTATAGCTTTAACATAAGTTATTGTCCTTGCCTAATTGGATCTGTCAACAGATTTTTAATTGAAATGCAAGGACCGACACCGTTCTTTGTGATATAAACCAGATTTAACAAACTTGTTAAATCCCAATTTATTTTGGAAGTGTCGGAGGCAAGAGAACATTGCAATTTTTGTCAATTTTATTTTTCTATTACAGGGTTGCCCAAAAAATGCAAATGGAGGTATAAATTGCTCTGAGATTTGGCACACGAGGACTTCATGCAATGTGGGATCCTCTGGCAAAGTTTTAATAATCATAGTCTTATATTGATAGAGTTATGGTTGTTTCAAAATATGCTCCAGATGTCGTCCATTTCGCTGAAAACAAACTTGCAATGTTCAAGGAAAACTGTTCATAACACGGATGCATTCTTCCCCATGGGTATGGCTCAAATTTTGCAGCCATTGCTTGTTGGCGTTCTGCAATTGCGGTAGGGTTATTTTCATACACATTATCCTTTAAATAACCCCATATATAGAAGTCAGAGCCATTGAGATCAAGACTGTGGGATGACCATGGGTTCTCCGTCCTAGGAGAGATAATCTTCTCATAGAAATGACTAGTAAGCCAGGCTATGCTATCATTAGAAGTGTGAGGAGTAGCTCAATCCTTCTAGAACCACTGTTCTTGTCTATTGAAGCCTCTATGCCACTCTAAAACTGCCTAGAACTTCCTTCGAACGCCAATATTGCGCTGTGTGTTAACAGTAACAGTGTTGCCATTATCAACCTCAAACCAAAAGGGGCTGATGATTTCATGTTTGGAAATTGGCAGCCCAAGCTGTGCATTTAACAGAAGGAAGGGGCCTTTGAAGCACTTCATCTGGAATTTGTGATCCCAGAACACATTATTTCTTGAGTTTACATGTTCAGAAAGAAGGGAATGTGATTCATCCGAAAACCTAACATTGGAAATGGACAACATTTGGAGCATATTTTAGAACGACCACAACTCTATCAATATAAGACTATGATTATTGAACTTTGCCAGAGGATCCCACATTGAATTAAGTCCGTGTGTTCCAAATTCCAGAGCAATTAACCTCCATTTAAGAAAAATATTGAAGAAATGGAGGGTTGCATTTTTGGGTCACCCTGTATGATCTATTTAAACTACCTACCCTATCTTTGAAAATCAAGGATTGTGAGTCTGATATTGCACCGTTTTACATTAAACTTGTTCCATTAAGAGCCGAATATCCATCGTCTCGGGATATGTTGAAGACTAGCAATGCAAGGGAGTATATAATAAAAAGCAGAACAAAATTTTCCTTTCTGCAGGTGAATTGGTTCATTGTATATAGCAGGCCTGTCAACTGTCCCGCAATTTGCGTATTTGTCACGCATTTGCTGAAGAATTTGAAGTCACGCCAGTTTTTTTTGCGTGACAGAAAATGTCACGCAAATACGCATTTTACCTGGTAATTGTCACGCAAAAATATTTCTGTAGAATTTTTTTCGAAATATGTTTATGATACGGTAAAAATACGAACGTCGGAAAAAAACCGAACGCAATTTGTTCGGATTTGTCACGCGAATCCCGTATATGTCACGCATGTTCATTGGAAATTTTGGCCAAAGGTGTTTAAAAGTTGGCCAAAGGTGTTCAAAATTTGGACAAAAGTGTTCAGATTTGGACTTAGGTGTCCAACATTTTGAAGTCACTCATATTAGGTGGTCCCAAGTTGACAGCCCTGATATAGTCCCTCGATTATTAGGATACCAGTACTAAGTTCGTATAAACATGCATGTCAAACATGGCCAATCAGAAGAGTGCACCCCTTCTATATGATAATATAAACTCTTCCTACACCTTGATTTAGCTTTGGATCACTATGCTATCACTATGCGGCGGAAATGAGAAGCGCCCTCTATAACAGAGTATTGTAGCGTACCAACAGAAATGCATTTTTGTTTTGCTTTGAATGGAACAAGTTTGAAGAAAAACGATGCAGTTTGAGACTCACAATCATTGATTTTCAAAGATCTGGCAGGTCGTTTCAAATCAACAGTTTTTCGTATATAGTTGGACCCCATGTTTTTGTTATTGCGGTTTTGTTCATGGCGGAGATCAAACAGATATGAATGGGCCTCGTAAAATTCTACAATCTTTTGGCAGACAAATTATCTTCCTCATCATCACCAGATTCATCAGGAATGAAACCTTGTTCTTTCTTTCCTCTAAGACGCGTTGCCTCTTTGAAGTCATGGCATTTACTATGTGACCAGATTCCCTTAAGTTACTCGGGGTTTTGGTTTCACTCAACACTTTTTATTTGATATTTTAGCCTAGCACTATAAATATAATTTATAAACAAGTTTACAAAATACATTTTTACCTTTTTTGACCTTGAAAATGTCATCAAAGGTCAAATCTTAATTCTTGAGACAGACAGAGGGGGAATAACACCAAAGTTCAAAGATGACATACGCTTATAATGTAAACCTGTATTGAGATGACATACATCTCTGATTGGTCAAAAGTCGACAAACAAATGACGTCATCAATGGCGGTTTCAAAATTTTCGAAATACGCTTCAAATAATATTATGTTCATTTCTGGCGTGTTAACCGATATCATAGTTTCTCATTTCATATCAAGATAAAGAAAGGTGTATGGAATATGCCTATATCAATTAAAACATCCCATCGAAGTGTAGTATTTGATAGTTAGCCGATGAAAATTCGAACGAACGAAGGTGGTAAGCAAGAGACGTAATTATGTCTGTCAAATTTAATCTCTGGGGCTTTCCCTCCTCTTAGAGACAGATTTGAACTTCTGAAAATTTGTAGATGATTTTGAAAAACATTGCAGTCAGTCACAGTACAACAGTTATTGTGTGTTGTAAGAAATTGTTACAGACGCCGATCGCCAACCGCCGATCGCCATCCGCCGTCACAAAAACGGAAACCACACCACTTTTTGGTGGTGACATAATAGTACTTACAATGTACGAGGGGTGATCCAAAAGTCTTGGACGCCCTGCTCTAATTTTGTTGGTTTTTGATAAAATTACTTTAAACTTTCCAATAATAAAGACCAACAACCTAACTACTTTGTGTATTAATTTCATGGAGAAATGATATATTTTATGTAGTTTTCAAGATAGTTTTTAATATAGGGACCCTGCCACCCGAACGGTATTCGCACATGGCAACTTTCAGCCTTAAATGTTGCCGCCATTTCACTTGTTTCGCAAGTCTAGACCCCTATCTTTCTTTGAATTTTGAATGTTAAACCATGTTAAACCACTTCCTTTGTTACCATGCAACCGATTAATTGTGTTTTAATTATAATGTCACATATGACAATGGCCGATTATGTCAAATTCTAAGAAAATTACATCAGGCGTTCAACCCTCATTCTGGTATCATTTTTGCTGCAAGATGGCTACTGAAATGCAGCTCATGACACAAATCAAAGTGGAACAAAGAATACTACAAGATATTTTCACTATTATTGACCGTGAGCAGCTAACATGTGCACAATACAGCCTAGATATGGCTCCGTGTGACCTTCTTCCTTTTCTCCAATTTGAAAGGAGGATCAAAAGAAAATGTTTTTACTCATTGGATGAGGTTTAGAGTGGCACTCCAGTAGCATTTGTATCACATAAGCAATGGTAGTTTCATAAATGTCTTCATTCATTGGTAAAGCGGTATGTAAAATGTGTTAAAATTCGTGGAAAATATGTTGAAAAGTAGGTCTTAATATGTGAAGATGATGATGGCAGATAACATTCAGATTGAAAATCGGAAATTCTCTCATATCATGACTGGTGTTAGGTTGTGCACCTGCACCTAAAGTATTTGCCATTTTATAACAGTTGTGATGTGAATTGCTATATCTAAATACCGTTCCGGGTGGTAGGGACCAGGTATCAAAAAATATTTAGAAAAGTAGCTAAAATATATTATTTTCTGTTGAAATTTATACATAAAGTTGTTCAGATGTTGATCTTTATTATCTGAAAGTTCCATGTAATTATATTAGAAAATAGCAAAGTTAGAGCGGGTCGTCCAAGACTTTTGGATCACCCCTCGTATGATGTAAATGTAAATCAGAAAATTATTGCGAAATCTCAAATAAGGCTGCCATTCTGAATTTTCCGAGGCCCAAATTACAAAAACAGTACAATATTTGCAATCTACCCTAAATTGCCTTTCATTTGAGTAAAAGTAAGCTATACTTAAGAAAGTTCTCAAAATTACCGCAAATCACGGCCCCTGGGCATCAGGGTAAAAACACGGAATATATTATGAATAGATAGATGTTGTGTATAAACTATCGAAATTTCAAATAATAATATTAATTTCTTTGGTTTAAAATGAAAAACATAAGATTTTTGTGAAAAAATCCTGTCATTTTTAAAGTGGCGGACATTTTGAAAAAATGAGTAAAACTCAAACCAAATATGAAGAAAATCCGTAAACTTACATTCGAGTTGTCTTCCTGACAGATGGACGGACGGACGGACGGACGGACGGACGATCGGATGAGGACGGGTGGACGAACGGACGGATGGATGGATGGACGAAGGGCTTCACTATATACTGTGCCTACCGAACTTCGCTCGTTGAGATAATGAGAGCATTTGGTAAGAAACTTTCTGATGGGGCTCGGACAGTGGTCAAGCTAGCCAGTCAGCCTAAAACTGGTCATTACGTTATCTACCTGTGTTAGAAAATCAAAAAAGGATACTTACGAAGTAAATATCAAGGTGGCTATGATTGTTATAGAACCTATAACGATCAATGCAATTTGATAAGCATCCAATTTAACGCCACCACTGGTACTGACACTGTTAGTGAAGCGATAGTCCTGTAGTGCAACTGTAAACAAAAATATGAGCTGCATAAAAATGCTATCAGATGTTATTATGGTTAAACACTTCAACATCTTTCTGTCAACCTCATTTTCTAAATGCCACCCCATACATTAAATAAGGCCATATATATAAATGTTTTTTCTGGAGTAGCTACATCAGGGCCTTGTAAATTCTCGAGCATTGCCTTTTCTATTTCTAGATTTGACTCTACATAACACTTGGAGCTGCTTTGCTCTTGTATTTTAAACTAATGACCCCCCCCCTATAATATATGCTGGATACCTCATATTGAATGTGAAATGCCAGAAAAACACAACCTCAAAATTTGATAACCATATACATTATATTATTGACTGGTGAACTCCCTGGATTATTGAGGATGACATACCAGCACATAATTCTGTTGGAACGGGTACGCCTTGGTATGGTATGTTGAGATAGAAATTAACTTTAATATAAGAATCTCAAGAATGACATCTGATACCCCAATTCAATAAAGTAAAACATAAGTGCAATTCATTTTACTCTTATTGAAGATACTCTCTTTTGCTACCTTTGACCTGCCAATGTTATGTTGACTGAGAGCATAATGACACGATCGTTTGTAACTTCTAAACAGGTGACATATATTTACTCCTATTCCTTGAAGATGATGTGTTTCTCAGTTTGTCATCAAACATTGAATATTAACCACTTATTCAAGATCATCATGCTGTACGTAAACTGAGGAAACATAATAACTATGTGATATTAACACGAGTTTATATTGCAAGTTATCATGATAAGAGAGATGATTTTGATATTGTGATAAAGTAATATTCCATTAAACCAACCATATAGAGTCTATGTATCCCAGCTTATTAGATAAAAATCCTAGATCAGGCTAATACAGCCATTCAAGTAAAAATACCACAGAGATACAGCTTTACTGGAAAGTATAAATCATTTTCTGAAGTTTCAAGTTATTCCACTTGACATGCTCAAGAATGTTGGACTTTTTAAAGCACAACGAACTCGCATTTTGCAGCACTTGGCATCTTTAAAGGTTGACCCCGGCGGCTATGGTATCAATGATTGAAAAATAGAGATCGAAAAAGAGCCATAGTTTTATTCTGATGACCATAGTGAAAAAAATTGTGTTTTATTGTGTTTTGTGATGGATAATAGGGAATTTAAGCTTGCATACAAAATCGAAACGCCAACCTTTACGTATGACCAATTGCCCATACAAATGCATCACCTAAATATTTTCCGTTCACGTTTAGATTGTAAAAAACATTGCAAGCTTAAACTCCTTAATCAATGACCGTTTGATACACCTATTATATGGACTTTGAAATTGAGATTTGGTTTTGTGAAGTATCCCACATCATTTGAGACCGAATGTACGAATACTACTTTTATGCCATGCGTGTTGGCTATCATCAATTCATATTTATTCTTCAACATGTACTGTAGGCTTCAGTATGCGTAACTTACAATCCAGTACCAGAACACCAAAGGACATTTCAATCATACTGAGGTCATTGCAATACATGTATTAAAAAGAAATTGTAAGCCAGTACCGATACAAACTCATACAATACGTTCACAATCAAAAATGACATACATAGACCTTGGGCATGTTTAACAATTTATCTCATTTCAATTCATACTGATAGTTTATTTCTTAGTTGTCGGAGATCATCAAAAAATAGTTAAAATAAGGTGTCTCAAATATTTGAACTCAAAGGCATATCAACAGCAAAGATAAACCAATCAATATTTCCAGATATTTTTTGCATGGTAATTTAGGCAAAACATGTAAGTTTTCTCCCCAAAACCATGGGCTTTCAATTATATGCCCAAAACTAAATTTCTAGTTCAGTTTCACCTTTTTAATGCGTTAACCCTTTTTATACCATGTGTTACATTTAACCTCCTCATATTTCAATGACAGCCTGTATCCTTACTGCTACATAGTTGATGCTTCTGGTAGAATCTTATGATTTTTTTTCAGCTGGTGGTCTTAAATTGCTTTAGGTCTCTTGGCTTGGGATTAGCATAAATATGGTTCTTCAATTTTCCCCTAAAGAAAAAGTCTAGGGTGTCAAATCTGTTGATTAGAGAGGCCTTCACAATGTCTTTATTCATTCAGATATATTAGACGTTGAAGAAACTGCTTTCATGGGAATTCCTGTGTGGCCCTTGCTGTATGTGGAATGATGGGCTCATTCGTTTTGAGACTACAGTGTTGGATATCAATCAGTCTTCATACTTCTTGTGGAACTCGTATAGATGGCAGTTAACTACTAGGTTGTTCTTCACATCTGGCCACAGATAGCAGAATTTTTCTTAGGAAATACATCCTAAATAAATACAAAGTGAGGAAGGCTTTTTGAAAAAAATGGAAAAAAATCTTCCGGGTTTATAAATTGCAAATTGTACATCATAAAACAGTTGAGACATGACTAATCAATACAGATTTACGATTAACAGGATTCAAGGCTTGAATTAACAATGAAAACTTACCGCAAAAGGATCGCAGTATTGTCAGGTCTTCGAAGATTGTTAGAGAGTTTGAAATATTGATCGTTGTTCTTCACATACAGCACTGGCAGTGTGGTACAGTGCGCGTAAAGGGACTTGAGTCAATGCGTACCACCTTCGTTTGCGCAAATTTTCACCAGTTGGTTTTTGAATATAACATGTTGTTGTGACGTTTAATCGATGCTAACATATCCCTTATATTTTTCTTTATCTTGGTGTGAAATAACAAGTTATGATATTGATTAACATGCCAGAGATTGAAATAATATTATTCGAAGCGTTATTAGAAAATTTTGAACCGCCATATTTGTTTACCGATTTGGACCAATCAGGACGGTATGACATCTCAATACTAGTGGAACAAGTAAGTTTTTAAAACATTTTGCTGTTTATTCAGTATCACGAGGCTCAATTATGACCAAGAACAAAGTGAATTTGTTATAAAAAGACCGTAGAAAACAATGGTACAGGTTTCATAAGGAGTAGTATTATGATAGAAGAGATATCGGGCTTTCAAAAACCGGAAGTGAAATTATATCCATTTTCTCCAAGAAGCCTGCCTCACTTTCTATTTTTTTAGGATGTATTTTCTTAGAAAAATTCTGCCATCTGTGCATCTGGCCTATTGGTTTGTGTGTTAATATTGCTGTTTTAAAACTTCAAAATCACTACACGTATCAAATAAATATCAAATTTCCCTTCATTACTATTTATAAACATGTCTAAAGATTCCAAAATCAAATGGTTTTGGATATTTTCAATGAAAGGATTGTTATCGATATGGTGGACTGAATTCAACAATGTTTTTCTCTTAAACCAATTATTGAAAACATTCTGTAAAAAACATGATCCTTTATGTAATGTTGACTGATTGGCTACAATTTCATGCAAAAATTATTTATATATATTTTACATAACTGTTAACATATTTTGTTTTTTAGTGCAATTGTTTTTTGTTCCTTTCTACCAATTCTTGAGAATGAAATAAAATGTCTTTCCGAACCTTGTTTGAACAAAATAGCATATACAACATTTTCATATACTTCTCAATATTATAGTTTTACAAAGGAAATTTTGGTTGATTTAACAAAAAATATGCAAAAACGTAAAACAAAACCCCCCAAAATAGATAAAAATTAAGATAAACATTTTATTTCATTAACAAGATACTTTTTTAAAATCAACTAAACTTTCCTTTGTACAATTGCAATATTGAGAGACCTAAACACGTTGTGTTTATGTCGTTTTGTTCCAATGAGGTTCGGATAGATGTTTCATTTCATTCCGAACATATGATACCAAGAACGAAAAAAGTGTCTGATCTTTTTTCTAAAACAATATAGAAAAAAGAATATATATATAATTCAAATTATAATGTTACCATCCAAAAATGACCATTAAATTGACGATGTGTAAAATTTTCAGAATGTTTTGATGATTGGTCTAAGAGAAACGCGTGTTCAAAAAGTTCACCATATCGATTCCACTCCTTTATCTTAAGAAATTTTTGGAGCGATTTTACTTGTACATGTTAAAGTATGCTATTAAACCTACTGAATCGCCATTAGTGCAGTCAGTTAGCACTTTAATTGCACTTGCTATATATACGTCACCATTTTTTGACCAAAGTATCATTAATACATGTATTTTTGATATTTACCGAAGTGGTCTTAAAAAGTAGCCCCAGTGGATAATAACAGGGCTCGAAAATTTTGCATGTTTCCATGAGTTCAATGTTAATTTATCAATCTTCAAATGAACCCCTGCAGAGGCGTTCAAGAACAATAAAGTCAATCTTCCTAGTATGTAACCGTGACTTAAATGTCTTCAAAATAAGAGGGGTTACAAGCTGGATTTTGTCTAGTTCCAAAGATATTGGTGTTTGAATTTTGGAAAATTCCCATTGACGGCCATTATAAACTACTCTCAATATGGCCTTATTAAAGTGTCATTTTTCCAAAATTCCACCATGGAATCTTTTGATATTGTAGATTTCTATAGCCAATATATTAACTTTTAAAAAACCAAACAGGCACATTTCTAAAAATTCATTATTCTTTAGATATCTAACCATTGAATTGCACACGAAAACTCCCATTGGCTGCCATTATAAAAGCTATCAACACGGCTTTACTAATAAAGTGCAATTTTCTCCAAAGGTTCACTATGGAATTTTCTGAAATTGCAGATTTCTATACCCAACATAATGACTTTCCAAAAACAAAAATTTCTTATTTTTAATATATCTACTTATCAAGTTGCTCACGAAAACTCCATTGAGTCCCATGTTAATTTATCAATATTCAAAAGACCCCCTGCAGAACAGTTCAAGAGCAATAAAGTCAATCTTCCTGGTATGTAAACATACTGTATCTTGCTTGTCTTCAAAATACGAAGGGTTACAAGCTTGATTCTGTATAGTTCCAAAGATATTGGTGTTTGAATTTTGGAAAATTCCCATTGACCGCCATTATA